TATGGGGTCAGGATCAACCTTAGGGTTTACCAGAGAGTTGCCTGTTCATAAAGGCAAGGGCGGAAGGAGGATCTTCCCCTGGAGCCGCAGGCTGCTCTGCCTCACGTGCCACTGTTTTGGTTTAGGACTTCTGGCCCGTCTGTTGCTGGCCTGGAGACGACGTACACAGGGGGCAATGGTTTCTCCACCTCCTACAATAGCCAGAGGTGGCTGAACCTGTACCTGTCTGCTTGCAAGTTTCTGGATTTGGCCCTAGCTTTGCCTTCTGAAAACCTTCCTCAATTTCAGATGTAAGTAAAAGATAAAACTCCAGTGTTTAAAATCTTGGTTTTCCTATTTCTTTTCTCTTTCTGGCCTCCTCTGGCCCCAGAGTAGCCCCCAGGACAGGAGTTTCCTCCCAGCATCAGTGTGGCCCCAGAGCCAGTTTTCTTCAGCCTGTGGCTTGTGAGCTAATCAGGAGTAGTGGTCATTTATTAAAATGCATTATTTTTTTAAGTATTCAGTTGCAGTCATGTCCAAGAACCCCAAATAAACCCATGTGTCTCAATGACTGAGGCAGCAGATCAGAAGACTGCATGATCTCAGCTTGACCTCACCTCAATGGCATCGTTGGCTGGAGGAGGCAGCTCTGAGCCCCTTGCGACAGGGGCACCGGCTTTCCGTGGTCAGTAGCTGTTTGTGTCTGCAAACTCCTTCCCCTCAGCAGTCCTGCAGAAATGGACTCCAAGCGCCTGGGCTTTGCAGAAGACACAGAAATGGCCCGGGATTTGCTGCAGAGGCGGCGCAGGACTGACCCAGCCGCCCCGTGTCTCCCGTTACCTGCGGCAGGGAGCAGAAGGGCCCTGCGTGCAGCCCTGCTCTGCTCTGCCCCTCGGGCGATGCCACTTGGCTGTTCCCTGAACATCCATCTCCTTGGAAGTTCTCTGATGTGTTTTTAATCTTTGGGGGGATTTATTCATAATTCTCACTTTTGTGCAACTGCTTTCAGTTCCCTTATACACAGGAGAGATGTGAACACGGCTACTTCTAGAGTCTCTGTCCCTTCTTATTTTTGTCAGACTTAAAATATTTTTGAAAATTCTGAGAGAAAAAGCAAGAGCTCCTTTTCTCAACCATGTTCTCTTTCTTTTCGGAGAATGGCTTTCCTCTTCCACCTTTGCAAGGATTTTGTTTTTCCTTTTACTTTAAAATTTAGCTTTACTCTCCCTGATCCTGAGATGTAGCAGAAGGTCTGTGTGGTCAGTAAGGATAACGTCTGCTCGTGCTCTTTCGTGGCAGGTATCGCTGGGCTTTTATTCCAGAGGCGTCGGATGATTCGGGCTTGGAGGTGCGAAGACAGGGCACTCATCAAAGGGAATTTAAACCTTACGTGGTACGTCTAGCAAAACTGCTGCGGAAAAGAGCAAAGGTAGGTCCCTTCCTGCCAGTCCTGCTTTTCACTGAACACCTTCACAGCCAGTAACTGTTTGGTTTTGTTCTGTGGAAAGGAATTTATCTAGGGTGGCTATCTAGATTCCCACTGGAATAGCCCCGCTGTCCTAGGTTGCATTGTGCCTGTTGGGGAGTTGTCACATTGCAAATGATGTCTCTGCGTGAACTGGCAAAGCACAAGACAGTGAGAGAGACATGCGGAGGGAGGGCTCTGCAAAATGAGAATTTACAGAACATCCAGAATTTCTGGAACCCTGTAGTCAAGGCAGCAGTTGCACATTTTGAACCAAAACTGGGGGTATGAGGATGAAATAAAATTAAGGTAATAAACACTGGTTTCCAGGCCATTTCTTCTTTGTGCAGAGAATACAGTTGAGGATAGCTGCATGTTTCTTTTCAGGAAATACTATTTCTGAGCAAAATGTTTCAGTTGACCTGAATTTTGCTCCCTGGTGCTCTCGCTAATGCCCCGCTCACACGCTGTGCTGTGGGTCAGGCGCTGCAGTCTGAGGACGTGCCTCAAACCTCCTTGGCGCTGAGGGCAATGAGCAGAGGAGCAAACTGTGCCTGCTGTCACAGTCTGGTGGCGTCTGGTCCCCTAGCTCCAGAGCGGGGTGGTTCTGGCTGATGGATTCTTTGGGATGGCCGATCTTTCTGCTGGAAAACAGCACCACCCCCACCAGGCAGCTGCACGGCCTTCATGGCGAAGTGTTATTGTGCTCTATGAAATGCAGTCTGAAAGTAAGTTCTCCTCTTTCCTTCCGCAGGACAAGCAGGAGGACTTTAAGACGATGGTTTTGGAGGGATTGGAGATGGCCAAGCATCAGGTGAGGGTGGTCTTTGATGCTTGGGTTGTGAAACAAGCTCACCACGCTACCATCACGTTGCAGTAGTATCCAGTTCTCAGGGGGAAATGAAAAAGAGAAGTCTATTTCACTTCACAATCTGACAACTTTGTCCTCTAAAAAATCACAGGTGCCCTTATTTTTACCTTGGTTTCCTACATCTTCGAAAGAGAGAGAGTTCTAAAAGGAATTATCACCACACACCACAACAGAATCACAATTTCTGCCACACATAACTCCCAATCTGGTCTCTGCCAGTTGCCTGTTTAAGTGGCTGACAAATGAGTTGTGTTTTCTGAGTTACTGCTGTGAGGAAATGCTTGGAGAGGGTTGCAGTTCTCTTTGTTTTGTTACTCCAGTTTATTATCTAGCTTTTTGTGTCTTGAAACCTTGTGGAGAGGAAATAGTACAGCTAGAAGAGTTGTTTCCCATGACAGGGAGCAAAACAGAACCAAAAGAAAATATTAAACACATTGATATTTTGTACTAATCTAGTCACTGTTTATGAAACAGATATCATGAAGGCACTGGAGTTGGGAAAGACAGTTCCTTTCACTTAAAGGGCAAAAATAACTTTTTTCTAAAAAATAAAAAAAAAAAAAAAAAAAACACCTTGATTTCCGAGTGAGCAAAGGGAAGGAGCAGGTTGCCAGGAAGCAGCAGGACGTTACTGCTTGGATGTTTTAGCCTGTGGCCATTCCAAGTGCCGCTCACGGGCCAGCGAGAGCACCCTGCTGCGCTCCTGCTGCCTTTGCTCGTGGGCTTCCAGAAATCCCCCTCGGGAGCCCGAGGAGGTCGGGGCGAGCATCCGAGGGAAGCCTCCTTGGTGCGAGCCGTGGCAGGGGCCGTGGCGCTGTCCTGCCGAATGCGCCCGGCTCCGCTTCCAAAGCGAAGGCCTTGGTTCCTGCTGCAGCCTCCACTGGGTTTATTTCTCAGTGCTGATGCTGGCCGCTGGGGGCCAGCTCTGCTGGGCCCGTGCCAGCCAGCGGGATGCAGGTGCTGTGGGCCTGCTTGGGGCCGAGGCGGGTGCTGCAGCAGTGCCTGCCACTGACACATTACAGAACATGGGAAAATATCTGCGGGCCTTGCAGGCTGCTTTGTTTGTACCTGCCCTTTCTCTGTTCTCTCCTGTATTGTCTCATATTTCTCTGTATTTGCAGAAGAACCCAGAGGAGGAGAGCTCAGGGAAAACGCTAAGTTGGGAGCCGGGTCACCTGCTTTTAACCCTCTACACTGTTCGCAGCATCGAGCAGCTTCTGCCTTTCTTTAACGTACTCAGCCAAGTTTTTAACAGCAAAGTCACGAGCAGGAGCGTTGGACACTCAGGGAGCCCTGTCCTTTACCCCAACTCTTTTCCCAATAAGGACATAAAAATGGAGAATCTCAAGACTTTCTCCAGCAAAGCAAGGCAAAAAATTGAAGAGATGGTAGAGAAGGATTTTCTTGAAGGCATCATAAAAACGTGAGCTAAGCTGGTACTGTTCATCTTATCTGTAATGTAACTATTTAAATGAAATGCTGTATCTTTCCCAGTTGTATAGTATTCTTTTCTTACTTTGTATGTAATGAGATACTTAATGTTGTATTTAATTTAAAAATTTGTAAATAAGAGAAGAGTTCTGGATGTGGCCTAAATCAAGTTTAAGTATTGGTGGCTCCTATTGATTATGGTGCCTACTATTTACAGTACACTTGTTTCGTTGTCTTGAGGTCTGTCTTAAAAAAAAATCCTAAAAAAAATACAAGGTGCACATTTTTTCAATTTGTTTCCAGTTTATTCCTGTTGTCTGTTTTTAGTGACTTATTGGAGCTTGTGTTTATTTGGCAATGTGGAAAATGCCCTTGTACCAGGAGTTAATGTAGGTGAAAATAAAATGAAAGAAAGAAAAAAACGGAACATGAAAGAACAAAGCCCATTGCCAGAGGTAGATAGCTGCAGCTGAAATGTATGGTTTGTAATACATGTATATTTAAAATATCAGCAATACATCCCCTTAGCCCAACCCCTTCAAACTGCTGCAGGAGGAGGCAGTGTCACAAACATGCGTCAGTCCCTCCCCCTCTTAAAAATTATGATAAATACTATTATTACAAATTGCTTTAATTGCATGTATGTGTTGCCCACATAATTTCATAAAAACATTTTTTCCCTAAAGAAGATATTATTGCTGGCAGTGGGTTTCTTCACTCCCCGTGCCCAGGCGAGCTACGGCGCAGGCCCGGGGCTCCCTGCACAGCTTGCGGGCGCGGGCAGCACGGAGCTCGCTCGCCCTCGCGGCCGCGCACGGGCCGGGGGCTGCAGGCCGGCGCTGCCCGCCCTCGCTTCAGGCTTTCCTGCCCAGCAGCAGCTTTAAGGCCTTGAGCTTCCCCTCACGGCCCAAAGCCCGCGTGGGGGGTCGATCCCCACGCAGCTGTCTGGGGAAGCTCTGACAACCACGTAGTGCCCGTAGCGGGGATGGGGCTGCCCCCGTGGAAGACCAGAGTTGGGGACGCGACCAGGCCCCTGCCTGTCTGGAAGGGACCTTCAGGGCACCCATTTGTTTACGGAAGTGAAGGGAGGGAGGAACACCGAGCAGCCAGAGCAGCGTAGTTAAGAGGTAAGTTACCAAGAAGGTAAGAAATCATAGGGGAAAAATATTGTGCTCAGTCCTGATTCATCCCTTTTACGCTCGAGAACGGCTTGATACATCCACACTACCCAAGGGTGAGGTGATACGGAGCAAGTCAAGTGAGGAGGTTTAAGGGCAGCTCCTTCCTTTGCGCTGCAGGCTGGGGCGGCGCTCCCACGCCGCCGGCAAGGTGGTGAACAGCCAGGCTCACCTCGTGGGCAAGGGCATCGGCAGCCTCCTAGCACACAGGGACATAAGGAATAAGTTAGGGACGGGATGCTGCAGCTTCGGCATGAGACTTGGCTAACACAGGCAGCAGTAAGGCGAGAGTTCTCCTGCAGATGCTCTGCTCCCTCTCTTGTTCTGTCCTATTCAGATCTCTTCTGCCACCGTGTGGGCAGGAAGCAGCGGGTAGGACAATGGGACAGAGCAGAACCCACTGATTTTGGTGACAACTTTATGTATGGACTGATTCTTAATTCCAGACAAGGTTTATTTTTGAATCCACCCCTTAATAATCATGCAGTTCCTGATTGCCTCAGTCACTTCCTTTATCTCAAGTACTCAGAAGGTTGATCCTTTAGTGTCCTAGTTGCCTTTATGAATATCTCACCTTTACAGATAAGCATTAAAAACATTAAAATTTAATTTTTTTTTATGATATTAAATGTAAGGTTTTGTCCCAATTTAAGATCTGTTCCACCTCCTTAAATGACCACTCTGTAAACACACTTCTTCTTCCCCCACCCTCTACTAAGCAGAGAACATGCAGAACACGAGCAGCTCCCTCTGGCTGCAGCGGGCTGCTAGCCCAGGCCTACCTGCGTGTCGGCTTCAGCGTACACCCTCACTGCATCCTCCGTGCCCGAGGGCCGGACGAACGCCCGCGCCGCTCGCCGCCTCTTCACGAGGGCGTCGATGCTCTCCTGCAGCCCCGGGGGCGCCGTCACCCGCCGCTCCGCGTCCGTCGTGCCGATAACCTGCCTGTCGGCCACCTGCAACAGCAGAAGCAGAGTCGGCTGGGGTTGGGGCCTCCAGCCAGGCTCTGGCTCAGTGTGTATTAAGCAGCCAATTAATCAGGAAAGAAGGTGACTTCTAGGATCAGGGGTTGGCCATCAACGTGGGCAGCCTCCACATTTAAGCTGCGTCTCCTGCCAGTAGAGCAGGCTGCTTAAACTCTCTTCTGGGGTTTATTTGGAGGCTAGAGCTCCCCTACTGTGCTCTCAGCTCTAACACTGCTACCACGGGGCAGTCTCTCTCTCCTCACACCTGCAGGTCTTGGAGTGTGGGTGAATGTAAAAGAAAGACAGGAGCTCAAGTTTTCAATTTATTTTTGTAAGAAGTGAGTGACACATCAAGAAAAATTCATCCAGTCTAGAAAGCAGGGGCCTCTGAAAACTAGCAAACTTCAAGCTTTAGCTAGAGAAAAGAAAGTGCACTGGAACCTACTTTCACTCACACTAATCCTGACTCCTTTAGCTAGAGACAAAAGTGAAATTAAGCACTAGGTTTCATTTGGTTGTTGGCCCCATAGGCAGGTAACTAGTGTTGCTTCAAAACACACGGCGCAGTTGGAGGTCTGACTGAAAAGCTGCAGCAAAAGCTGCAATTCTCTCTTGGGCATTTGAAGCTCTTCTCAGCCCCCTGGGATTTGAGACTATCAGAGGTAAAACTTTCCAATTCTCATTTTCTGCACAAAAAAACACCTATGGGAATAGAAAGAGCTGTGTCCCTGTGGTGGTCTTGAAACCCTAAATCATTCAATCTGCTTGCTCTTTGTGTGAAAAGCAAAATTAAGTTTTAAGAAAACATTTCAAATGCCCTTTTAACAAACCCTCTCATCACCAAAGGGAGCATGTGCAACAGCAGATCTTCTACTGAACAGCAGCACTACTCTATATAACCACTGATCTTGATCTGCATGCACTGTTAAGTCAAACTGAACAACAAGCCACCTTCCCCATCTCAATTTTTGATATTTTTTTCATTTAACAAATCGGTTGTTATTTCATCATATGTATAAGAGGTCATATTTCATTTTACTCAGAGTGAAACTCTGATCTTTTCTCTTATGTGGCTTATTCCAGTAGGCCAGTTAGTTAAGTCCTAAAACAAAAGTTTTTCTTTGAAGAAAGAGAGACAGAAGCTTCAGTTAAAACAAGCTGGATACGAGAAGGGCTGCATGATGCTGCTGCAGCCCGAGCCAGCAGCACCTGTAACTCGCCTGAACTTTGAGCAGCCGGTTGGGGAGGTCGGTGTAGATGTCATCCCACTGCTGCACCGTGAGACCCTTCAATGCCAGGATTGCTTCAATAACCAGCATGTCCGCGATAGCGTCGCCAACTGTCTGTTGAGGGAGGCGGGGCAGAAATAAAAAGGAGAAGTCAGCCGTGAAGAAACGTTATCTGATTCCCTCTTTCTTTCCCATTCTGAACCCCAAAGGCTATACCAGATAAAGGGATTCTACATTCATGCATGTAGAAAACATGACATCCCTCTCGATAAGACTACTACTGTGCACCCTTTTTCTTGTCCCCGTCGCTACGACCCTCTGCTTCCTGCCTTGTGGCTCCCAGCAGCAGCCTCGCAGGAACAACCCACCCAAACAGCGCGACCCCAGGCCTGTCACCAGGGGACTACTCTCCCTTAGCTTTTACCTGATTAATCAGGTCTATCATATTTTCAAGCATCTTTGCTGCTTCTCTCCTTTCATCATCTTTTTCCTCTTTTGCCAGTTGTCTTATCTTAGTTTCAGCAGCTTTACTAAACAACACCTACAACAAAACGGTCAGAGCTGGTCATCATCCATCCATCATCCACACATCAAGAACTGTGATACATGCAACAGCGAGGACGGGGAAAAAACGCTTTTGCCATTTCAGCCAAAAAAAATTGCAGAATTGCAGAATCACAGAATGGTTGAGGTTGGAAGGGACCTCTAGAGATCATCTAGTCCAACCCCCCTGCTCCAGCAGGGACACCTAGAGCACGTGGCCATTAAGGTTTCCTTCCATGAGTTCCTATTCCCACAGAAAACATAGGGCAGTTAGTGGCACTGTCAGAAAATAGGAGGAAGGGGGAAGCAAGTCTGTTCTCAAAGAAGGAAAAAAAAGCCCTTGCCCATATAGTCAAGATGGCTGCAGTTCTCGCAGGTTACACACACATACTTACTGTACCATGTCCATTTGCCTCAAAGTACACACCGACATCAAACTCCTGCGCCTTGTGATGCAAGTGTTTCACACCTGTTTTCACACAGTGAACAGGCACCTACAACCCAAAGAAGAGGAGAACACACACACAGTCATGAGTGGCTGGGAACTGCAGGCGAGGTGACACCTAAAAAAACACAGTAATTCAGAAAATGTCAAGAACTTAGTACCACCAACACACCCACGTTTCACAACTACTCATTTCCCAAAGCTCAAATTACTCCCTACTTCTGCAGCTTTGATGTAAAAGAGGTTTTTCATTTCTTTGAATGGATAAAAAGCCTGATTTAAAACACACTTTTTAAAGACGTCACATGTGAACATACACCCCTTCCCCACCATGAAAACTCCAACTTATTTAACAGTTTCAGGGAACATGCATTTTTCCAGCCAAACAAAAATATCTCAGGTTTTTGCCCACAAGCAGAAAACCACATTTCAGCAGCAAACAAGATTCAGCCTGTTGCAAAAATGAACAGTTTCATTGTATCAAAGAGCCTTTACTGACTCATTTCTTCACAAAGCCACACATTCCTGCAATCCCAGAAGTAACAGATGATTCTGCTTAACTTTTGCCTACTTGTTTCTTTACATCAGTAAAATCTGACTGGAACTATTCATCTTTGATCCCACAGGCTCTTATTTATCACCAAGAATTTAACAACTAGTACAGGTTTGAAAGAGCTTGAGTCCGATTTAGTTTTCCTAGTGACTGCATCGTAACAGGATTGATTAAGAAAGGAAACACCATTGACACTAAGCCCCATTTGCAGCAGGCCACCAGGGAGAGGTGGAGATACCTTCATGGTCTCCTCGAGGTAGCGCGTGGAGCTCCCGTTAGCGTAGGCTGTCTGCACCACTGCCACCTTCAGAGTCTCTTCCACCTGGGCAAACCAAGAAGGGCTTCACTGCCCGGCACACAGGTAGCCAGGGCAGCAGGGTAATCACAGTCACACAACACTCAGACTGAAAGCTGCGTTCTCCTACAGGTACAAACTCCTGGGCATCCAAGGAAGGAACTAGCTCACAGATCAAAGGAAAGAACGTATAGATGTCCAGGATGACAAATTCCAATTATGTATCTGGGCATCACATTTTTAGTGGCTGGCTTAAGCAGCTCTTCCTCTGGCCACCTTCTGAGGCTTTTCCTCACCATTTCTCAGATTGAGCAAGCTCAATGCATTGAGCAGACACATGGAGTTGCTTGTGAATACGGCCCCATGTAACAAATCTGAAGCTTCTAGAACAAATTAAGCAAAGATGAGCAGTAAGCATAAATTCTTGCTGCTCAGTACCTCCATCACAGCATTAAAAATGAGCCAGTAATCACAGAAACCAGAACCAATGGAACTTGTTTAGGTTAAGAAGTAAACTGAAAAAAAACTTAATGAAATCTACCAAAACAAAGAAAATAGAAGTCATAGAAGTCACTCCCTTTTAAAAACAGTATTTTTGGCATGCCATTGAGGTACAAAAGTGATCTCTTCCTAAACGTTATGTCCACTTAAGTCAGATGTAGGCAAACACACAGTTTCTTCACAGTATACTCCATTCTGCCAAATTTAAATATCAGCATTCATTTCATATGTTTAAGTTACCTTGACAAGAAGCTCTTTAAGGAAGATACTAATTAAAGTTGCTATTTTATCTCCATCGATCAGATGAAAACGGTCATTTGTGTCCTTATAGTAATAAACAATCCTATCAGCATCTCCATCGAATGAGCAGCATCTCTCATTAGGCTTCATGTCTAGCCCTAGTGCACAGAGTTAAGCAAGGCAAGTTAGAGACAGAGACACAAACTGTTCAGTTCCAGGGTGGGTGACGCGCAGACATCAGCCACCCTTGGGCAGCGGTGCCTGCGGAGCGACGCACGGGGGCCTGGTGCGGCCGCCCCTGCAGCGCTCCGAGCTCAGTGGCAGGCGGCAGCGCCCCTGGGCATGCGGGGAAGCGGCGCCTGCCGGAGTGGGGCCACAGAGCGCCAGCCTTTCCTGCCACGTGGATGCTCCCCGTGCCAAACTCCACCCTCCAAGACACATGCAAATGGGCTACATCCCTCTCTGCACCAAGAACCTTTTTATTGAGAATATGTTTTAGGCCAGTTTTTATTTTACCTTATTCACACCTGCTATCCCTGTGTTTTCCCTTGGTGTCCCTCCTCAACTGGCACAGCAACACACCACAAAAATGAGCTATTTTTTTTTTAATCAAGGTAAATTTTGCTTTTCTCCAAAACTCAGGCCATAGGTGTTCCTCAGGTTAACCTCATGGTTAATTTTTCAGAAACTGCACAGCTGCCTCCACACCTAGGCTGCCCTCAGAAGCCTTCAGGAACTCATGGGGGAGCCCCAAGGACACACCGCACCCCACAGCTGCTTGGGGAGACACAACCTGCTTTTCCTTTTCCTGTCTCCTGGCAGTGCCCCCACTGTGACACCTTCTGTCCTTCAGAGCCCAGGCACTGTACACAGCACTTCCCTCTTTCTTCTCCTGCACACCCACAGCGATACTGTTCAAGTGCAATTAAGGAGGTACTGCAGGCGTGAGGTGCTCAAGCTGAAATGGGAGGTAATGAAAATTTCAGCTTCGAGAGGTTGAGACTCCCAATGATTTTAAATCAGGAGCTGTCACCACTTCTTACTTCAGAGAAATCAGCTATTTTATTCAAGTGACTGATCATAAAACCACAATTTTTCTTCAGAACACAAGCCTGCATAGAAATGACAAAGGAGCATCCCTCACTCCAGCCAGAATCAAGACACAACGCACAAGCACCGTTCCCAGCAGGGCCTGCACTGGGCCATTTTTTTTCAGTATTTTTCCAGTAAGCAAGCAGCATGGCAAAAGATAAAGGAAACTGCAGCTTGGTGTTCAGCTCTGGCTAATGGTTGCAGGGAGGTGTGGTTGTCCTAACAGACAGCCAGTTCAGCAGTGCTCTAATACTCAGACTAAGTTACTTTGCCAGTTTGGGAATTTTATTCTACACATCCCCCAGGAATATGGTTGAAGTCATTTCCTCACTGACTCCCGTAAATCAGTCTGTTTGCTGGTAAAAGGGATCTGTTTATTCCAGCTGCTCCTCAGGAACCTGAAAAAGTGCCTGGAGGCCTACTCTGAAACTTAAATGTTTTGATATTACAGCAACAAGTAAAAGTTAGTCCTCAACAATCTTTTAGCTCCAATAACTCTGGCATTCAGACCAGATTGTCAAACATATTTCAGATGGGAAGGAGGATAAAGGACATAGAATTACTGACCGCATACCTCTTGGGGGCTTCTGATGAACTTTTACATAATCTGCACCACATAAGTGGTTGAGTTTCTCACTGGTTCCATCGTTGTACAGGTGGATCAGTACCTCCTGTGGAAAGTAGCGCTCCATTTCCATCAGTTTCAGGGCTCCTATTCCATTGGCACAGTCAATCTTCAGATGCCTCTGACTATCTCCAGAGCTGGAAGAATTAGTCTAAGGAAGGAGGGGGAAAAGTGAACCCATACCCTAGCGAAACCATAAATTCTCTCAAACTTTACACCTGGTTTAGGCTAATGAACAGAAAATAACCATTTTGTCCATCTGAACGGAAGTGACAATAAGCAGCATTCACCTTTTTAATCAGTTCTGTAAAAGCTTTGGATAGTTTTTCGTAATAGCCTTCCACCGTTGCTTTCCCATACTGTTCTTGGGTGTTATGGCAGCAGACCATGTAATGCAGCTGTGGTGTTGTCACAAGACCATAATCTAATGCAAAAACAAAAGGCACAATATTCAGAAATATAGCACTACCCTCATTCCTCCTACAGGTCTTATAATATTTGCTATTCTTCAACAGACAAATGCAGTGCAGGAAGACTCACATTTACATAAAAAAACATGAAATCAAACTAGGACTGAGAGCTCAACGTACCACGGTACTGCCCTCCTAGAACGGAGATACCATCCATCACTGCCTGGGAAAGCTTCATGCTGCTCGGTCTAGAAGGAAACAAAGAAAACACCTTTATGGACTGTGGAAGGAATATATACCAAACTAGGGACAAAATGTGCAATCTGGTAGCGGAGAGCCAAAAATCCAGCAACACCCATGAACATAGCTTTGGCACCTCGATAAAAGCAATATCTATCTAAAGCATTTTGCAATTACCTGGTGTCTCTTCCAATAAAAACCAAAGCATCTCTGTGTAGGTCCACGGCTTCTTTTTGGCAGATTTCAGTCATTACTTTCTGCAGTTCTTGCTCCTCTGCATTTGCCAGCTGTGTAGCATATTCTTCCCACAAAGGATGCAGCATTTCACCATGAGGATCGATCAGCTTTACACCATTATCTTCCTTAGAAAAAAGGAGAATAAAACGTTCTAAGCCTAAACCACAGAAACTAAGCAAAATATTTTTGAAGACAGAAGATGTGGATTAAGTAAACTGCTTCTTCAAACTTGGTACATGAAGAAATGGCTTGGCTTCAAAATCTGCACCAAGCCCAAACAAGTAACATGATCAGCATATTAAGTCACCTGTCCCACTCATCACCATTTTGCAATTAAGTTTATTTGACATTAAAATGAGATAACTGGAGATCCCATAACCTGGACTCCCCACAGCTGCAGAAGTCTAAATGCCTTATTTGCAAGCACTACAACTTTTTATTTTTTTTAAACAGATTTTGCTCAAAGGTCCATCCCAAGAGTGCTCTTAGCTTGCCAACATGACAACTTCCGCACGCTTCCGTACTTTCCCAAATGAGACAAACCGACAGCGCTGCATGAGGAAAAACAACGCCACACATGCAAGTGATGCTACTTGCAGGCAGCAGTTTTTCTTTTTTTCTTTTAATCGGGTCGCTCTTACCTCGGGGTTGTGGGACGCGGTGACCATGACGCCGATGGCGGAGGCGGTGGCCCTGGACCTGAGGACGGCCAGGACGCCCATGCGGAACATGACGTGATCGAGGCACTCAGCGCGGCTGCGGAAGCCGGC